ATCCAGCAAGCAAACTTCTACAGCTTCGTCTGAACGCTGCAATCGCGCGTACGTATCCAGCAGTTAAGTTAAGATTAGTATTCTCAAGCACTCCACTTCTTCGCCTTGAAGGCAAGGATAAACTGCCGTTCCAGCCCACATCAGTGTGTATTTTCAACTTTACATGCTCCTATGGGGCAGGTTACATTGGTCGAACGATTAGGCATCTATCCAAGCGCATGTGAGAGCACCACCCTGCGTGACTAAACAGAGGCGAAACAAAGTCAATATCAAGCGCAATTCTGGCCCACTTGGTAGACAGCGGTCATCGGGTAAACGTCAATCAGGCGTTTAGAGTCGTCTATAAAGTGCCGGCTGAACACTCTAAGTTCCTGCGTCAGCGGATATCTGCGACGGCAGAAGCAGTCGCCATACGCCTCACAAACCTATTTTATGTGCACAGAAAGCATTTGTAGCCGCCTTAAGGCTCCCGTGGCCAAAGGCCATTTCAACATTCGCCCTCACGCCTATTACCACGCCGCGAAACAGTGATGAGACTGCGGTATCAAGCATCCAAAGGCCACTGACGCCGTCACAAGACGTCGACACCTTGCATCCTCACACCTCCCAACAAAACTCGAGACAAGGACCACGGGACGACATTAACTAATTTCGGACTCCTCCCCCTTCCCCTCCTCCGTCCACCCCATTTCTCTGGTCCCCAATTAAGACTAGAATCTGATCCCCTTGATCCCTTTACACCTCTCTCCCTCTCTGCCCCCTTGTTACTATTGATTGGTTTGCATAAAACTTTCGTTAACTCTACCCCCCTTATATTTCCGTATTGCCTGATGATGAATTAATCGAAAACTTTCGTTCGCCTAACTTGACTTCCTTAAGAAGGTTAAAACAAGGTGGAAGGAGAAACAGAGGAAAATGAGCTACGGGAAAAAAGGAGCAGGGGACTGCGTAAATCTGGGAGCCGGTTGTTACCAACGCAAGGCTAGGTTAACCACATCTGTTTACTTAGGTCCGGTTTAGAGCGTCTTATATAGGCTGCCTCTAATTAGCGCAAGATACGAGATGTTCGTGCTCGAACATGAACTCGAAATGAAGTTTAAGGGTCCACAGAATGACCCGAGTCCAGCAAGTGTTCTGTAACAGAGGAAAGAGGGGTTCGGTTTTCCTGCTTGAATAGCCAACTAGGCAAGTGTTCCTTGGCTCTGGCTGCCAATGGCCTTTGCGTTCGCCCTATGTACTTGCATCCGCAAGTGCATGTGAATTCATAAACACAATTGGAGGTGGCGTGCAATAATAAGGCATCCTTCGCACAAGGAATAGGTAGGGGCTTAGTTGGAGAGTAAAATATGAGCTCAGCGGCATAATAGGTTCTTTCTATGGCCTTGAGCAGGCGTCTCTTGATAGTGTTTAAAATGTTATCACCCTTAAAGGGTAAGGATAGGAAAACAGGCTTTTGGAGCTAAGAGTTCACTCATTTTCGATCGCAAGAGTTTACTATATTTCTCTATAAACTGAGGTGGATATCCACGCTTCAGTAAGGTATCTTTGATACTGCCTAATTCTGCGTCCGAAGTATCCACAGAACAAATCTTTCTAGTCCTCTGGAAAAGGGTACATACCAAGTTACGTTTCCATTGGATGGGAAAAAGACTTAGATAATGCAAGTACTGACGTTTCTAGGTATTCTTGTGGAAGACCCTCCGTGTAATGGAGCCATCTGTCTGTCTAGAGACAAGTGGACGTCGAGGAAGGAAAGTTGGTTATCTCGTTCTAACCAACTGTCCTTCCAATTAGCCTTAGTGACTATGACCTTTTTGTACCAATTCAATTTCGTATCTTCCTCATTCGTTACTCTCTAATGCATTGGAGGGGCTGCAACTGATGACCGCTCCCGAAACGTAATGGATCCAATAAATTTTGCAGTCCGCGCAATATACCAATTTATGCCAGTGAAACTTTACTTTAAACCAATCAATAATTTGCAATTTAAAGCTGTGGCCAGGCTAGAATTCTGACAAGTCAGCCGGATAAGTCACAAGGCAATCGAGTCGCCACTCGTTCGAGGACAGTATCTGGTTGGCTGATGGACATGACTGTAGACGCTTTTGTTTACCTTGCGTCCGTTCTTATTGCGTTCTTCCTTGGGGACTCAAACAAGACGTAATTAAATAGTGATATCTCGGCTTTTGAGCAACAATTACAACACACTCATTAGATCAAAATAACGTGATCAAATGTATGCTAAACTTCCAAGTCCCATTTCGATCAATACCTCCCATAAATTATCTCATCTAGTGTACATCATCAATGGTAGTAGACTGACGCTGCATCTAACGCCCTCTAACCTCCTCCTCCTACCCTAACTGGGCCCAGCCTCCCGACCGAGTAAAGAATACCGGAGGGGCGGGGGAGACGGCGCAGGTGGCTGGCGCGCCACAACACCTGGCTGGGATCCCAGCTGAATGGCTCTGCCAGAAGGAATCACATTAACAGAGAGCGAGAGCTTCAAGGAAAGACGTTCTTTGGAAAAATAAGTAACTTTATTCAGTAAGTTTTCGACGCTGGATCCCCAGGTCGTCAGACTTGAGAAGATGTGCAACGGGACAATCGACCGACGTGCGAGCATCAGTCACGGTTATAACACGCGACTGGCGGTCAGACACATTCACCTGACGCCAGCAGGAGAACAGACACTACGCGCTGACGATGAAAGCGAAAATGTTTTCGAAACGTCAGCTTAAATACAACTTGGTCTCAGTAATTTCCCCTTCTTGTTCTTCCTCTTCCGGGGATGATGAAAGAAATATTTTAAAAGTACTGGTACAATTATATAGTCATCTGATGTGAACGCTAATTGACAGCTGAAATTTGCGTCAATCCATGGTGGACAAAATTAGGAGTCGTGAGGATAGGGATAAGAAAGAAGTCATCTACAAGATCCCACGCAAAGCTTCTGATACCGTTTTTTGTGGCCAAACAGGAGGATCCGTCTCTATTCGCATTCATGAGCACCAATTGGTAATGAAGAGACGTGACCATTTATCAGAAGTCGCTATTCATTGCCTTGATACATTTGCGTGGGACAAAACACGCATCGTCGGAGTCTGCCCCTCCTAAAAAGGCCGACAATTTCTTGAGGCTATGCACTCCGACGTATCGAGTTGGATGGTGTGTATAAACACCTCAAAGAAAGAAGGAAGAGACGACAGCCGATCACTACGGACAAACTTGAACCGCAACTGCTAATTAGCCTCCACACCTGATGACTAGTCAATTTCCACCCTGGGCTGACGCAAATTACAGTTGCCAATTAGCAATCAGGCTATTACGACTACTAAGTTTGTTCACTATGGACTGACGCAAATTGCAGCTGCCAATTAGCGCTCACACCAGCACTTTTGAGGTTTTAATTGTTCGTTGCACATCTTTCCAAGCCTGACGACAACGACCTGGGGATTCAGCCTCAAAAATTTACTGAATAAAGTTAACCTAGTTTCCCAAATAGCGTCTTTCCTTGAAATTACATTTTTGAGATGCGTGCGCCTTCCAATTTATACGAAAGAGCGAGAGAGCTATTTCGAAACAGGATGCGAAGCACTTACATGACCATAGATGATCCACGGATGAATTGGGGGCTCCTTTTCCCGAGCAGCGCGTTCGGCCAGCCAGAACATGAGACAAATTGACTGGAAGAGGCCGGCGCGCGCGAGAAGAAAATGCGTCAACCGCAGACAGCGCACCCCTGTCCTCTCTTTGGTGGAAAGGCAATCGAAGAAGGTTTCTGCTTGTGGTACCTTTGCGGTCATCCCTGCGAGTCTAGGCAAGAAATTATGATGGTGATGGCAGTTAACAAAAAATTAATGGATATTGTTCCAAACTGTAAAGGGAAATTTTGGACGCGGTGTAACTTAGTTTGCAAGATAGTACACGGCCTTGAGAAAGGATTGCGCTTAGAAGGGCATGTTTCAGTGGCACTTCTCGCCTCATCTCCTGTGGACACAATGAACCTGCGCACGTAGTTGTCCAACCTTAGTCTCCGTTCTGATTCCTTCACGCAACGGGCCATACAACAGTGGACTGACCTCCCGCAATCAGTCGTGGAGGCCAAGTCCCTACAGTTGTTCGCGCGCGGTGTAACTTCGTAAGATAAAGGTGCTCTGAAGCGAACCTAGGCAAAGATGTCTTGTGAGGCCCCTAAAAATAAACTCCCCCGATCAAGTGTCTTGCGGAATACGTGGTTAAAGGTAAAAAAAACTGGATTAATGGGTGTAAATGCTTGTTAAATTGGATGGAAAGTGAACATTCAAAAGTAAATTAAAGCCACTTATAATTGTTTTAGTGAGCTAAATATAAGCAAATCGACAAATATAAACTCATGTTGCTTAGGTTACTGATGTCTATTGACCAATAAGAATAGTAGACAATTCCTATTGGCGGAAATTCGACCTTAGGCTGAAGGAATTTATTTAAGGTGGCCCCACAAGACAGCCCTACCCGAACTTAAAATCATTTCTTCGTCGTAGGGCGGTGCACGGGAATGACAGACTTAGCGTACGAAAGTCCTTTAAAGAATGCTTCTTGAAAATCTGTCAAAATGCGTTTAAAGTCGTGGTTAGCGGTGCCGTGCTGAGTTCACCATCTCTACTCACTAACACAGTAATGGTTATTGATAATTCATTGATAAAAAAAGTAGATTTCGCAAAAATATGTACAGTTAATATTGTTTGTTCAGGACCTGGTCTCCACTACATGCACCATAACTGCGGATTTGACCTAACATGCGTAAATCTCGCAGAGTCCACATTAAGGAGGAACAGTTTCGGCCAGATTGTAAGTTCTGAGAAGGACCAAGGTAGGCGCAACAGTTGGAAATGCTTCAAACCATGACGTTAAAGGTATTTTGATCAGGCACTAAGAAGTGAACTCATGGGTCGTGACTGCTGACTAGACTAAGTGGTATACCCGGTTTGATATTCGAATACCTGCATATTAGCCCGTAGGCCAACTAATAGAGGTATGCATGGGTGTCCAGTAAAGCAATACACTGTACAGGCTTAGTAGGTCAGATCGTTTGCCTCGTGAAGATGGTTGGCTCATCCGCACGGCCCATAACTCGCACCAACCCAGACTCCAGAGGAGAGTTGTTTGTAAAAACAATGCTACTCGCAGTTTGTGAATAGTAATGCGTGCGTGTGCAAATGTATATGACGCACCGACAAGCAAAAATTAGGGGGTTTCAAAGGCATTGCCTATCAACCTTACCAAATAAACCGAAACAGACAGCGAAGCGCTTTCACTGAAACAACTTCAGGACACAAGATTTTCGTAAAACGACTGCTACGACAACATACACACGCTAATCTGGCAAGTGAGTCTTCAGCGTGGACAAAGCTGGACCTACCTACAGGTCACAAATGCAACAGCTTCTAGCACTGTCATGCAAAACACAGCCCTCGCGGTAAAAAGACATCTGTTTTTGCTAGAACGCAGAATGCCAGACTAGAAAGAACACGAAGGTTCAAGATACGCAACTCTACACAGGGACCATGAAGGAAACTGGTGTTAAGAGGACAAAAACGACAAGGCAACTGGCTATAGCAGAAAGCAATAGGACGCAAACATGCATAGCAGAAAAGCAGACTGTGCATCGCAATATCATGATAATAATTTATTGAAAGAAGCTCATGTACATTAGCGATGGGCTGCAGTGATGAGGTGTGTGCATATATGTAGGAGTACATTATTTCATGGACAGAAATGTGCCTTAACGGACGTTTCCCAAGCCCTCTCAGTTGCGTAATCAGATTAGTGCATCGGTTCTTTCTGATGTCTCTGTTTGTATCAGCCTTGACGAATACCTGTTCGACAAACGAAGATTGCTAATTAGCATTGACCTCTGTGAGATCCGCTCAGCTTTATTAAGGAAAAGATATGCAAACGCCGTTGAACTCCTTGTTGGTAATGCAGTGGCTAAGAAATGCATTGATACCGCAGAAAATTTCAAAAAAATGGCGCTCGCATAATTGCAGACGAAAAGCGAGCAGCCACCCGTTAGTCTAAAATAGTAAATATACACAATTACTCGCCTGTTCTAAGTAGCATAATCACGTGTGTAATTATTACTTGGGGGATGGTAGAGACTGTTGGCTCGCGTAACACGCACCCCTTTGAGGCTGCTGTATTTTTTGTCAATTCAGCGTAGTTCTCGGCTTGCCATCGACAGACAGCGGACTGAACAGTTTTTGATGCTAGTTTGAGTTGATTTCGGCCTCGTGGGTGCGTCAATGAGGTAGTGGGTCACGCTGGTCATGTGACCTTGAGCCGACTGCCCTCCTATTTTCCACGAGCGTCAGCTATCGGCCACGCGTGACTTTACAACAGTGCCCTGAGAACTTGCACGTCACGCCTTTTGGAGGATGACGGGTGTGGCGTCGACGTATCCGACTGAGAACTGAGCTAAAGACCAGCAGCTTGGACCGCTGAAAAATTGTTTCGAAAATTTATACAGAGAGAGGGGAGTCCATCGACGTGCTCGTAACCGCAGCCTTCTCGTCTTCCCCACCTTGTCTATAGTCTTGTTCATGGGGTTTTGGAGCATTCTGAACTCGCTGACGGTCGATGTAACATAAGACACCCTGTACATCAAGAGGTGCTGTAGTTTAGTGCAGTATTATCTA